CCCCCCTTCCCCCTCTCCTGTGGTGCGTGGCTGCCTCGCTTCGCCGGTCTGTCCCTGGCGCGCGCATCCTCCTCACTTGTCATTGACATCCTGACACCCACATACCCACCCACACCCACACAGTCTCCTCGTCCGGCTGACTGCGCCAGAATGGCGGTCACCTCCTCGGTCGAGCCCCCTCCCCCTAAAATACCGCTCCCTGCAAATGCCCGCAGCTCAGACGCCCCCCCCCACCACCACTCCCACCACCACCACCACCAGCACCACCACCAGCACCACGGCGCAGGTCCACGGACCCCGGCGCCGGGTGCCGGTGCCCCCGCGCCGGCGCTCAACCCCCGCCGGTCCCCTTTCCAGGGGCGTGGGGTTGTATCGTCGGCGGCTGGCCCGGGGCCCGGGCCCGGGCCCGGCGACCCGGGCGATCCCGGCGGGCCGCCCCCAGCCAGACGGCATTCCCTGACCCATGATGCCGACCCGTCGGCCCCCAAGCAGCAGCCGCAGCACCCCGCCCACCCGGAGCCGCGGCCGCACCCGGAAAAGCAGACCTGGCCACCGGCCCAGGCGCTGATCACCCCGGCCGACGAGCAGGACACCACCACCACCACCACCGCCGCCACGGCCGCCACGGCCGCCACCACTCCCACGGCCGGCGCCCCGCCGGCTGATCCCCCCACAGATCCCCACCGGCCGGGGCCGGGACACCCTGGGCCCGGTCCGCGGACTCGGTCGGCGTCGGCCGCCCGCGACCATGAGCTCGAGCCGGAGTACGGCTCGACATTCCACGCGGCCGAGCTCTTGCCGGCCGCCGCCGCGCGGGCCGATACGCGGCGCCCCGCCGGGCACCCGCGGTCCGCGTCACTGGACCGGCAGCCCGGCACCACCGACGCCCGGTCCTCGGCCGGGCCGCCCCCCCCGCCGGGCAGCCTCCTGTCGCCGCTCTTCGCGGCCGAGCAGCCGGCCCACGCCCTGGGGCTCGGGCCGGGCGGCGCCCAGTGCCTCTCCCAGAGCGCCACCTGCCCGGGCCCGACGCTGGTGTCCAGCCAGTGCCAGCCGCCATGCATCGGCTTCACCATGCATGTGTCCCTGTCGCCGGCCCCGGGCGAGGAGGGCCGCGGCGATGCGGCGGCCACGGCCGTGGCCGCCAACGGGCACCCCTCGCCGCAGCAGCGCGAGGTGGCCGAGATCCTGGCGGCCGACGCGCGGGAGGCCGCCGCCGCCGCCGCCGCCGCCACCGCCGCCGCCGCCGCCGACACCACCGGCCCCGCCGCCGGCCCTGGCAAGACGCCGTCCTTCTTCGCGTCCTTCTTCAACCGGGCGTCGGGGGCGGCCAGCCCGGGGGCCGCCGGCGACCCGGACGCCCCGGCCGAGGGCCTTCGCTTCCATGGCACCGCCGCGTCGGCCACATTGCCGGTGTCGCCCTTCGGCACCGGGCTCATGGCCTGCCTGAGTTGCGTGCAGCTGGCGTCGGTGTCCTGCTCGCCCTGCACGGCGGTCGTCCGGCTGGCCGTGCTGCAGGCCGAGCAGGCGGCCCTCACGGCCGGCACCCTGCCGGCCAATCCCACGGTCACCGGCGGCCCGGGCCCGGGCCCGGGCCCGGGGGGGCCGTCCCCGCCGTCGCCCTCGGGGGCGGTGGCCCCGGGCCCGGTGTCCGGGCAGGCTCCTCCCCCCCCTGGTGGGGCCGGGCCGCCGGTCAACCCGGACGTGGCCCTCTTCACCACCGCCCCGGCCGGCGAGCCGGGCCTGCTGCTGCCGGCGCACGACCCGGAGCACCAGTGCCTGCTGCGCCAGCGCGACAACGAGGACATGTTCCGGGAGCTGGACGCCGCGCGGGGGGGCTTCTCCGGCGGGGCGCTGGACGACCCGCTGTCCCCGGTGTCGGGGTTCAACTTCTCGGCATCCGGCCATGGCGGGCAGGATGACGGCCACGAGGCCGACATCGAGGATGCCAGCCTGCCGCCCGAGGGCGGCCCGGTGTCCGGGCTGTCGGCCCTCGGGGCCGGCGGGCTGCTGGCCACGGCCGAGCCGCCGGCCCTCCCCCCGCACGGGTTCCTGGTCGAGGTGGACCCCTTCTGCCCGGCCGAGCATCCGGCCCTGGTGGCCCACCGGCAGAGCCTCCCCTCGTATGCCGGGGTCCGGCGGCTGATGCGGCGCCTGGCCCCGACCGAGCGCCTGGCCCTGCAGCATTCGCGCGCCGAGGAGCAGGCCGTCCGCCGGTGGATGGCCGCCATGCTGATCGGGTCGCTGGACTCGCTGCAACACTCGGCCCTGGTCCCCGGGTCGCCGTACCACCACCCGGCCGCGGCCCTGGTTCCGGGGGCCCTGCTGAACTCCCAGCAGCAGCAGCAGCAGACCCCGCCGCCGTCGTTGTCCTCGTCGGCCTTGGGGTCGGGCGGCGGCCCGTGGGGCGGCCCCGGGCGGCAGAGCCACTCGGCCGGCCCGAGCCGGTCCTCCTCGCCCATCCCCTGGGCGGCCGCCAATGCCGGGGCCTCGGCCGGGCGTGGCGGCGGGCCCTCCTCCCCCCCGATGGCCATCCCCTCGTCGGTGATGGCCGGCGGCAGCAGCTCGGCCCCGACGTCGGCCGCCTCCTCGCTCACCACCACGGCCGGGCGCCTGGGGGTCCGGACGCCGGGCGCCTCGCGCGGGTCCAATCGCCTGCCCATCTGGTCCGACTCCACGCGCATGGAGGTGGCCCAGATCCTGGCCGCGTCGCCGGCCGAGCGCTTCGCCCCGCACTCGCGCACCGTGCGCGGCCGGTCCAGCTTCTCGCGCCTGCGCACCCTGGTGGCCCACGGCGTGCCGTGGACCTCGCGCGGTGTCGTCTGGCCGCTGCTGCTCGGCGCGCCGGAGGAAGTGGACGGTGCGCACCGCTGCCCGGCCCCGCCGCCCGGCTTCCTTCCAGCCTCGCCGCCCTTGTGCTGACTCCCTCTCCCCCGCCCCCCCCCCCCCCGCCCCTGCTCCCACATGTGCCTGCCCGCGCCAGGCCAACCGTGCTCCCTGGCGCATGGGCTGGTGCAAATGTACGGGCTGAATGTGCCCTCGGTGCCGATTGCCCCGCGGCTCGGGTGGGCCTCCGGCTGCTTGTCGGCCGAGTTGGCCGGCGGGTCCTGCCCCTCGTCCATGCTCCAAGGCCTGGCGGCCCTGGAGTCCGGCACCGAGGAGGAGGACGACCACGTTCGCGAGGCCGGGCTCCTGCTGCTGGACCCGACTGACGCCGGGACCCCGATGGACAGTGCTCCCTGCACGCCGGTGGCCGGGCTGCCGGCCGGGGCCGGGGCCGGCTCGGCCTCCCTGCCGTCGGACCCCTCGGCCGACCAGCTGGCAGTGGCCCGGTCGTGCAGCAGCGTCGTGGCCCGGCCCCGGCGCCGCGGCCGGCGGGTGTACCCGGCCGATGAGCTCTGGCCCCTGTCCACGTCGACCAGCTTCCGGCCACCCTTCATCCCGAGTTTGCCGCTGCGTGCGGCCGGGCTCGATGTCATCGGCTACCTGATGTCCATTCTGGTGCAGGTGCGCGACTGGGCTTGCCACTCGTCTGCCCGCTTTTCCCGGCCCCTCTGCGCCTCCCCCCCCTGTCGCCTCTTTGTTTCTTCCGCTTCTCGCTCGGTCCCTCCCTGTCATCGCTTCCTCCTCCTCCTCCATCTTCCCCCCCCCCCTTTGGTTATCAGCGTGCGGATGCGCATCCGGGTGTGTGGGCCCCTCTAACTTTGCTGGCCCTTGAATTCTTGCGTCCTCCTCCCCCCCCCCCCTTCCTCGCCGCCTCCAGTTCCTCGGGTTC